CCCCAAAACCCCAAAACCCCAAAACCCCAAAACCCCAACGTATAAAATCCTAATTGAGTCGATTACTTTGGGCTAAGAAGAGAGTTGGTTATTTGGAGTTGTGTGGATATTTGATCTCGTGGAATAGGTCAAGGTTGCTCTTGGTCTTGGAGATAGGCGAGGGCTTTTTAGGTGAGGAGAGTTGGGAAGAGGGGTGAATGGAGGGATGAGGGGGGTGGAGGGTGGTGCCAGGGTGATGGCTGGGGCTAGGGGTGAGAGGAGGGGTACTTTAGAGAGGGGATGTGGAAAGGAGGGTTATTTTTGGTGAGAGACTGATTTTGAAAGGAGTTCTCTCTGGCGTAAGTGGGCTCGGAGGGAGTTTTGAGCATTTTTGAGGTTGGTGTCTACTCTTGCAGAGACGTTATTTGTTACAGCTAGGAGGGTAAGGAGGGAAAGTACATGGGCATTTGGTCTTTTGTTAAGTTGTTATATCTCTCTTTCTTCTAAATTGTTTGCTAAATTTACCCTTCTTTTTCGAATGTTGGCACTAATGATGGAGCAATTACTTTTCTTAAGCTATATTAGTAAGCAATGTGTGAACAAGTGAAGTAATTATCATAAAATGATATAAGGCCATTAAATATGATCTAAAATCTAGTTTCACTCTAAACAAAAGAATTACACTTTTTCCACTGAGGTTTAAATTGACAGTCTCTCTATAAATTCTGACTTTATCCCTACACCATCATCCATTAGCCTCTTACCCTTCTGTGACCAACAAAGCCACTTTCATCTCATTGTTAAACTTCCTCTTCTTCTCCTATAAAATTCATCTTCTCCATATCTTCACCTTAGCAAATTATACTTAATTTGAACCATTCCTCTACCTTAAACTCATTCCAGGTATCAAAAAGACCTAATTCATCCAAATAACTTACTTTTAGCGTACTTCGTGTTTATCTCAGGGTTCTCTTGAGTATTTACCTTTGGCATCACAAAAGGTACTCCTTTAGAGCTTGAGTTTAGATTTCTAAATATCCCTGAATTATTCATAATATTTTGCAACTTTTGAATAACGAAATTATTGATATTCAAGTGATGATAAAGATAAAATAAAGAAACTTATCAGACACAATACTACTATAATAAAAATTTGTTCATTTTCCTATGAACTTTTCAAAATTCAAAGAAACCATTTGTATGATTTCTGGTGACAGAAACAGTCTAGAAAACATTACATACCTCTTTTTATACTCAGGAATATTAGAAATACTCAAGTTATTGAACTCATCCAAGATTTTATTTGTTATCTATAAGGCTGTAAGCATCGATGGAGACATATGAGCACTTACCTCTAAAACTACTTGAACAAATATTAGCTCTTGCCACCCTCAAGTTTTTGAGTTTTCTATTGAATGGATGCTGCACTTGATGTCATTGGTGGATGAATTTCTTATTTAGGGTGATTGATGAATCTATAGCATGTCCTTGATATTAGTAAAGCATCAAAAAGATTGCTTACCATGAGATAGCGGAATATTCCTTGTGCTGTTTTTAATATTATTGAGGGACCAGAGATTTTGATTCCTCTTGGAAGATATAGACTCCGTTATATTCTATATTTCTGAACCTAAAAATAGCAATTTTAACATACTTTCAGTGGCTCAAGTACATCGAGACTTAACCCATCGTTAACTCTTTCGCTTATCTTAGTATCTTCTGTTTTATTCTCACATTTGCTCTCTCTTGGCTCTTCAGATCTGTTCAAGAGATCAGGTCTTTTCATGAAAGGATTAAGTCTCCTTTTCCATGCATGCTGTTTTATTTTATTTTCTCATGTTTCTGTCATATATAATACTTGGTTTATTTGCAATGAATCTCTCCGATGATATCTTTAATAGTGCTCTTCTGTCTCAATTTTCTTAAATTCGGTCTTAAATTAGCAACTTTCATATCAGTCATTTTATTGTTCAATTTTATAAATAATGTTCGGGGTTTTGGGGTTTTGGGGTTTTGGGGTTTTGGGG